ATATATATATATATCTTGATAAATAATTACAATGTAGGAAACAAATATTGTTGTGGTAACACAATACAATAACATTAAATTTTATAAGAAAAGAGACGTATTTTTATCAATCTTTGCGCATACCTTGAATTCTCTGATATCCTTCAAGTCCCGTTGCAGATCCTCCAATACCATTCTTGCGCAAGCGTGTCGCCATTCGTGCTGTGACACGACTTTCCGCAAGTGCACGGATTTATGCATCGCCGTCAGCTTGCGTTTCCCGGTTTCGAGAATACAATTGTTGACCCGTAAAAGTTCCTCGCGCGTTACGAGAACGGTGTTCGCATAATCAGAGGGACAACCTCGCAGCGGCACTTCGATTTGGCCCATTTTCAAGACGAGTTGAACCTCCATTTCTTGCATAAGCCGCGTTAAAGATCTCTCCATGTTATCCAGGCTGACTTTCTTGCATGTTACGATATTATCAGCTGACTGCATCGCCTTTTGATAAAACGACAGCGTTTGCTCCGCTTCTGCCATCTCCACCGCGCAGCATCTCACCTTCAATATTATCCGTTTTTTATACAATAGCAATAGCAATAGCTTTCTTAATCTTTTTATTATAATCAGTTTCAAAACAAATTATAAAAAGAAAGCGTAAAAAAAGAAAGCGATATTTTTATTTTCAAAACTTTTTACTTTATTAATAATTAAAATCAATATTCTTTAATTTTAATATTTTTGGATAGCAGATTAAAGTTCTCAACTATTATGCATACAACTTAATAATGATATAATTATTATTATGGAACCGAATTTATTTTAACAAATATACGTCATTTCTATGGCTTCTTCCTCACCTTCGTCTCCATCTCGATTTTTCGCTCTCCTTAGCTTGCACATCGTTCGCCAATGGTCGACATTAATTTGCGACGGCAGATTTCGGGGCATCGAGTCCAAGGCATCTATGCCCCTGAGGAAGTCCAGGCATTCGCGTGGTAAGACATCCGACTTCTCGTTACCCGCGACGCATTTCGCCACCTCTGTCAGATATGTGATAGACGTAGTGGTGAGCCGATCGGCTCTAGGCCGCTTCTTATAATGCCTGAGCAAATGCTCCACTATCGGCTGCTTCAACTCCGCGAATTCGCTACGAAACTTGGCTTCCTGGCGTTTCTCCGCTTTGCAAAGATTCTCGTAACGAATTTTTAGCTCCGACACGACCGTTTCGAGCGAGCTGCACACCTCGCAGGCGAGCCTGCATGCCTCTTGCATGGCTGGTGCTAACTCCTCATCAGCGAGACGGGCGATTTCTTGCCTGCCATCAATCATGGTTCGGTATCTTCGGATCGCGCGTATCCTCATCAATCTCTCCTGAAGTATCGCGCATTCAATTTGCATCTTCTTCAGTTCCAGATCCTTTAACTTGTCGTTAAACGCAGCGATGTCCCTCTGTAAAGCGTCTAAAACGGACATTTTGTGTCAATAGGAATGTCAATAGAGCAGAATATTTTAAGACAATTATTTCACAGATTCGCGTTTTCGATTTTTAAATATTTCAACCTTTTGTTTCCGTAATGTCAGCTTGCAGAGTTGTTTTATATTTCTCTCGTTCTTTTTGTAGAGCCTGTACTTTAGATTTATACGATGCGATAACTGCTACATCTTCATCGGTATATTCTGACGGGTTCTTCGTAATTAGACAATTCGGCACTGGTATTTCCTTCTTTACTTCGTCTTCCCATCTCAAAACAGAACATTTTTTTTTATGTTAGTAATTTTAGCATTATTCTAAAATGAGTTTTTATTAGAAGAGAATATTAATTTTTATGCAATCGTTATTTGAGTTTTAATCGACTTACTTAAGTTCTAGTACACCATCCATCATTTTATCAAGTGCTTTCTTGTAAAAATTGCTATTTTTATTTTCATCTTCTTGATCTTCATCAATTGTCACAGTTTTGAACTCTCCTCGTCGCGACTGTTTCTCGAATATTTCGTGATCTTTTACGGTAATTATGTAGTCGGGTATTTCTTCGACATTCCAGGATGGAGTTTCGATTGGCTCCAGAACAGAATCTATTCCAAACATCGTCTTCAATTCAGACGCACAATGTTGAAGCCTGTCGATGCGCTCCTTAGCACATTTTAACACACATTCTTTTGCGTGTTTCATTTCTTCAAAGAGATCGTTGAAATGCATCTATTTAAAAAAATAATTTTTAAAAATTTTTTAAAACAGTTACGTACGTTGATGAACAATTGACAAAATAATTTTGATATTATCTAAGTTTCTTAAAATAATAATTAAATAACTTTATGTTTTCATTATTGTATAATATAATTTATATTTATGATCAGCTGTCACCTTTAGTTTACGTTCACGATTTTCGATAATAACATCTTTTTGCAAAATGGATTTTAGATCGCTGTCACATGAAGTTAATAGTTGATGGGTTGAAATTATACTTTTATCTTCAATCCATTTATGCGTTGTGACACCAGATATACATAATTTTTCATCTTCATCTACAAGAGTGCACCATGTTTTAGCCATTTGATGCATTTTGCTTTCGATGTTGTCAGTTGTTAAGGATTCTTTATCAGAAGTTATTGTAATTACTCTTTGTCTTGAATTATCTTCATTATTTGATTTATTATACACCTCGTGGCTAGAAATATTACTTTTCATGTATCGAAAGCATTCTAATGTGATATTTTATATATTTATTACAAACATATAAACTTTATAATAACTTATTATAAATTATTAAATTCATTTTATAAAACATTTCATAAAATTACTATAAAATAGTATATTGTAATAATAAAACAGATAAATTATTTATATAATTAATAATTAATTATCATTAATTATCAAAATACAATAAATACAATTAAAAAAACGAGAAATACAATTAAAAAAACGAGAAAAGTTTTATTTACCTGTACGAGAATTCGTCAGTGTCTGAAGACAATTTATCCCATATTTCAAAGTCATTCGTCTTTCGGGTTGATGCGAGGAGAGGATAATTTTGAATGATCGTATCACCGCCAATTGATTTAAGAGCACATGGTTTAATTTGCAACGGTTCCCAAAATATTTCAAGGAGACTCGATACCACATGGTCTTGTCGATCACAATCCTCTTCTAAATTTTGACGCATTTTCTCTCGTTCAAGTCGAGCTTCTTCTATTCTTCGATGTCGAGACTCGCGATCCAGATCAAAAGCCGAGATTGGCAAACGTGCATCCGATAGTTTGCCTTCGTTTAAATCGAGCATTTGTCGAACCTAGAATTTACGATATCGTGACTATGTTTTAAATAATCTTAAATCAGAATCGATTCTTAGAAAAGAATCATACTTGCGTTTTAATTTTTTCCAGATCGGCTATGATAGAAGATCGTAGAGATACAGCTTCATCATGTTCGGCTTTTAATTTAGCAGCAATTACAGTATCCAGCCAGGTTTCTTTTTCTAGATCATACAGCTTGTCTGAATTGGAAGTAAAGTCCTCAATCGATAAATGAACATTTGGAACTTCAGTTTTTGTCGCATTTATTCTTGTCTCCAATAAACTAATTGTATAATTGAATTAATTTATATTTTTCTTTGTAATTGATTTAAATTGTGTGGAAACGTGAAAAATAAGTAAAGGCAAAATACCGAATTCGATTGGCAACGAGATCGCCATTTCTACCGAGAGAAACAATTGTTTCCCCAGAACGCGAAGAAATCGCATATTTTATGCCTCCCTTGTTGCGATGATGCGGCATAAAAACCGCGATTATTTTGCGAAGTTCCATACTATCTCTGACTATAATTAAGCCATCATATCCATATGTTATAATTCGAAAATCAGTTACGTGTATTCCAATATTTCTCAGCTGATGCATGGAGAATAGCGCATCTGTGAGGACGATTTCTTGAAAATTATTCTGCAAAAGAAATTTATATTTTTTTCAAAATCTAAAGGGAAAATAAAGATATTAAATTAAAAATTACACAACTAAAAACTTTGCATGAAAAATATGATTCAACTATTTAATATTCTTTATATTAAGTTATGCAAAAATATTACCTACTTCTATTATGTGATTTATTTTATATTAATGATTATCTCACATGATAACTCACCTGTATTTCCATTTGATGTAATTGTTTAGATAAGGAAGGTATACCTAATATGTCCATAGGTTTTGATCCATGATAGAGCGCTCTGAAAGGTCTTGATAAATTTATCATGCAAATGGCACGTGTGCAGAGGTCGATCGAAATCTCGCAAGTGTACACGATAACTTTATTGCCGCCGATCGAAGCTATAGAAGGATTATTCGTTGCGAGAATTAAGATCTCAAAATGATTGTCGTTTCCTTCATATATTAAAAAATCAGCGACCTGTAAAAATAAAAAAAATTATTAAAAATCTTTGGTCATTTTTATATAGATAAAAATCGATAAATTTATATGTCCACAGTATTATATAGTGTTTATATTATATAACAAAAATAATGTACAAGTTAGACATTTTGTTTAATATTTTATATAATTGTCTTACATATCCACCAATTTCTATAAGTCCTAGAACATCCATACGATGTTGTTTAAGTCGTTTTCCAATAACAAATATCCTGCCAGTTTGAGAACTGCCAATTCCCAAAAATTTGCCATGACGCGAGAATTTTATTCTGTCCAAAAAATGTCCACAAAGATGAAAGCAATTAAAAATTTTGGGCAATGAAATTGTCATGATATCGATTAAAATGCAATTGCCAATTGTGCTGCACGACGCAAGCATTGGTAAGGTAGGATGTGAATTTATATGAAGAACTGTGAATATAAGGAAAGATTATAATGATATAACAGCCACTTACCATAAAAGACAATGACCATGAAAGAATTATTTTATTAAATACGTTGAGGATGTATATTCATTAAACAATAATAATAAATAAATGACAAATGTGTTATTTTAATTACTTCAAAAACGTCGTCAAAAACGTACATCATGCTTTAACTTAAAAATAAATATTTGTTTAGATTTTATTATATCTGGTTTTTACCTTCGCCGTGATGTTTCAGAGACAATCTCGCTATCAATTTGCCGGTCAATAACTCGAAAATGCAAAGACGATCCAACCGGTCTACCGCCGCGATGTGATCTGTGCTCTGAGATATAGAAAATAGTATTTTGTATTCTATCTCGTCCGTATAAATAACTTCTATATGGGGATTGTTGTCGTGTTGCATACAGATCTCAAAAATTTCTCCACTTTTCAAATGAAGCAAAATCCCATCTTTGAAACGGTGTTGTTTTCCGACTTGAATAGAATAGAAAGTCGAAATCGACCACATAAATTTCCACGTCACGTTCCAATCCGCGGACGACTTTTTGTAAAACTAAAATATATTGTTAATTGCAATATATTAAGAATTAAAAATAAAATAATAACAATAAATAATATATTATACAATGAAGAGTGAACTCAAGCTTTTTTTATGCGTTAGTAAAACAAGTTCCTTTTCAAATTCATTTTAATTTTATAGGGCACGATTAAAAATTTTATTAATACGCACTGTAATTTCTCTGTTGGCATTTACAATTATAACGCCGTTCTTATGAGTAATGACAATCGGTTTATTCTTTGGGTGTCCCAGCATTTTTGATTTTACCACCGAGAATAGCTTGTTAGCTTCAATTGCTACGAGCCATACATTGCCGAACTCATCCGAGACAAACAGGTTTCCTTCTTGCGTCCAAGATGAAGATACAATTCTGGGTCCCGGAACCGGTGCGTTCACGTGATGTATATTTACGATTTTGGAGCACGTGCGCACCTGATAGATCGAAAGTACACCATCGTCCATCCCAAGCTGCGATATCAAATGAGGGGGATTCGGCGAACATCTGAGCGAGATAAAAATTATTTATATTTCAATTGTAAAAAAATTGAAGGAATGAAGAAAGTTTTGGAGGAAGGAAATATATATTTATGAGGGAAAAAAGATATATTAATTTATATTGTATTACAAATTTATATTATAAAATAGAAAATACTTACTGAATTTCTTGAACGAGATTGTCTGTCTTCGTGTTAAGCGTAGCAACATGTTTGCCGGTTCTCCAAAGCCATACGATCAATCGAAAATCGGGAAAGCTAGTCAGGCTTACCAGATATTCCGTACCAGCGAAAGAACAGGATAAGTAGCCATTAATTTTGCTGGGTAGTACACACCTGGAGATTCTTTGTAGCGTTGGATACATGAATATCGATATCTTAGGATTAGGTTTTCTCTCGGCTACGGAAAACATGGAAACCGTCTGGCAACATTCAGAAATACAGAAACAAAATACTTTATTAAAAAATAAATGATATAGCTATATATGCTACAGTAAGACGCTTGTTCTTTCTATTATAAATAAATATGTAATATAATTAAAAAAAGCATGTGTACCGAATGGCCAGCCAAACACGATGCGCCATCGCCTCTCTCTTTGTTATCGAAGCGCTCGATTCGCTTCTCTCTCGTGTTCAGATCTACAAAACTCACGTAAATGCCAGAAGCTGTTGCAACAGTTTCCTTCCCAACGAAGACGAAGTCGTGAGATTTCCCGAACTTTGTCCATCTGTACAGTGATATGTATCATGTATAGGAAATCTTCACTCGTGAAACTTGTAGAAAATATACCTTGTTTCGGTTATTGAAAAATTCATTTTGTTTGCTGCTAAGGTATTAAGAAAATTTTCATTACTTTGTATTATTTTCAAGTCAGAATTTCACTCTATATGGCAAACACAAATCTTGCACGTGCAAGCATCGTGTTTGGTTGCTGAGAGACCTAGATAGGCTACCTTATTGATCGGGGTGGCCATAGAGACTGCGTTTAATTTTTTCAAACATATTCGTGATAAGCTACAGATCTGTATTTATCAAACTAGATTTCATAATTTATAATCTATAAAATTAAATCATTTATCTTAATAAAGATTATAAGAACAAATTAATTTTTATGTTACAAAAATTTATTTTTAAAGGTTTACTATTTAAATTTGACGTGAAAGAAATTATACATTATTTAAATTTAAGAACAACTTATAGGATGTCTTTTAATAGAAAATGCTAAAACACAACAGAATGTTCCCTCATTTGCACGTGTTTTGATTGCCGAGGTGCAGACAAACTTAAGTATTTGTCAAGTAATTGTCAAAACTTTCCTCGGATTCAACATTTGCATAGCGGAAGATAATAGAATCACCAAAAGAATGCCACTAAAAGTATGCCAGTGGATCAAAGTATTGTGGTTCGAAGGATGGTGACACCGTTATAGGCTGCATCGTTCAATACATAATAATGACCCTTTCCTTACTTCAACATTTTTAACAATTTTACATCATTAACATCAAAAAAATATTTTAATGAAAATCATACTTTTGACAAATCACGGAAATGCTTATTAAAATTAATTTTAAAAATTTTATATCTTTTTGCTTTTACAAAATGGTTGCAAAATGCAAAAAAAAATGTATATATATTTGTTTTATTGTTAACAACTTATATTAAATCTTTGTTTTATTATTAAAACAAAATGAAAAAAAAAATTTGACATGTTTTCGACATGGCAAACGGTAGCGATCGATTGATGGTTGTGCTGGAAGTATCGAAGGGGCACGGTGGAATAGTAACCCAATAATATGAACTTGGTGCCCCTTCCGAATGCGAACGGCATATATAGACGAAGCAAAGACGATCATTTTTTATTCACGAACGTTGATCGACGTGAGTGCCAGCCAGCAAGAATGTTCCGCGAACTCGTTATTCCGCGAATTCGTTAAAATAGTTTTGCAAACTATTGTGTTGAATGCGGGAGTGGATATATTTCGCGAGTGAATTTAAGTGAAATTAAACAACGTATGTATATTTATTAAAAAGTCCTATTATTTAGCCGCTTTGCTTACTTATTTTAGTATATTATATTATATATAATATAACAGAATCGATATAGAATATCGATATAGAAATTAATACAATTAATAAATAAATATAAAAAAATCTTTTACATGTAAATACTATTAAAATTATTTTTCTAGTTTTGTTTAATATATAAGTTTTATGATAAAAATTTATCAAAATTTATGACTGTTCATATTTAATATAAATTAAGTTGTTTATTTCATATATTATTTTAACGTTCTGTTAAAATAGTTTTTTAGTCTGTTAATAATTTTTTTATTAATTAAAATAATATCATTGTTATACAATTATACATTTAAATATTTATTGTTGTTATATCTGTTATTTTTTTGATAGATTAATTTTAATTTTGCAATCAAAATCTTTAATAAATTTAGTTAATAATAATTTAGTTAATAATAAGTGCAGATATATTATAATAATAAAAGTACCAAATTATAAATATTCATTGTTATAATAAAGTTGATAAAGGTTACGAAATTTTAAATTGTAGCTATGTAAGTGTGATATTATTTTTCATATTTATTTTCGTAAATATTAATATCATTGTTAAAATGACCACACTAAAAAGGGGCGAAGACCGCTATTCGATTAGTATGCGTGGCATTTGCTTGCATTTCGTATTCAAGAGGGATCTTCTGCGCTCATCTAGAAGGCGTTTCGTGTCGTGTTGCTTGTTTGTACTACTTGCTCATCTCTCCTTTTTCTAATTACAATTAATTCTAAAGATGGCTTAGGTTTTCTAAAAAGCATATTTACTCGCATTATCTCTTTTAATGAATTCATATATAAAACACTTGTATAAATTAATTTAATTTTTTAGTTTTTCTAATATTTTATTAAAAATTTCTTATTTGTGAAAGTAATAGCCTGCCGTTACTGAAATTTAACGTTAAAATGTTTCGGTTAGGAAGAGCAATGGCTGTTAAAAATATTATTAAAGATCACAAAGATTTAAGTTTTCATTTTTTATAAAAATTATTTATAATGCGTTTCCTTGTTACAGATCATCGTATTTCCACAACGATAGCTTATTGTTAAAATGTCTCACTATCAAACACGGAAGCAGCGGCACTACTGGATTCTAGGAATCTTTCTGTTCAGTTTAGTTTCATGCCATGAAGTTGTGCCTTCAAGTCATCAGGATACTCCAGGTGCATCAACCTTAAAGATAGAGGCCAAAGAATCCGAGGCATCGATAACTCTGGGAAAGGATCTAGTTCTCGGTCCACCTTTGTCGACCAAAGCATCTATCGTTATCGACGCAAATGACGTCGCGTCCACAAAAGTTGCTCCCTTCGTAACTCCCACGATCGTTAATCGAGTATCTTCCGGAGAGCATGGCGTTTCTCGAAGACCTGTTTCGAAAGATACCAGCTCTCGGAGCTCTTACGTCATAGACAGTCACAAGTCTTGGGCCGGCAAGAACCCAAAAACCGCTTGGAAAAAGGATAGTTATCTCCAGGCATTGATGCACTCGCATAACAGTGATGATCCACGAGAAGGAATCGTGCAGACAGACTTAAAGACGAAAGTAAATAGAAGAGAGTACGTGCAGGGACCCATTTACAAACCGGAAACGGAATATGATTCGTCTGATTTAGCTTACACGTCGAAGAGCCCGCGTATCACTTACGGTGGGCCCAATGTCCCTTCGCCCACCGATTCTTATTCTCAATCCTTCAGACCATCAATGGACTACAGCGATCGCTATAGTGTACCGCAGAATTCTTATGGCCTGTCACAGAATTACGGTCCACTGAATAACAATCCCTCATTTTATCCCCAGATTTCTTCACATGGACCATCCGGAAACTATTTGCCGCCCCAACAAGGTGAGGCGAGGAGTACCGTAAATCGTCAATTGAATTGAACTACTTGATATGTTTAAACTTATATTATTTCTTTGTTATAATAATTTAGCATTACTAAAACATGAATAAAATTTAATTAAAAGTTTAAGAAGTTTAAGTTTTAAAGAAAGAAAAAAAAAACTTTAATTATATACATCTATAAAATTATAATTGTAAATTAACTTATATTTGATACATTTAAATCAGAATTTGTAGAGATATTTTAAAATTTGCAGACATTATATGTGTAACGTAATATGGCAAATTTTGTAGGTAAATTGTTTTATTAACTCAAATAATTTTTCTTTAGTGAAAAAAAATGAAAAAAATTTTTCTTCAGTAAAAATATTTTTTCTTAATTTTATTTTATATTTTTTGCGCTCTTTGATTATTTTACTTTGCTTTGATTTTGCTTTGTTTCGACAGGATATGGACCTTCTATACACACTTCCGCTTCGACTCCGGTCTACGGCGCGCCCTATGCACTTCCGGATGTGGCTCACATTTCTCTTTTGCCGAGCATTGATCTAGGATTGCCGCTCGCTCTCAAATTGAACGCATTCACTATTGCAAAGATCATATTGAAGTTGGTGATCTTTAAGATGATCGTGAAATTTATCGCTGTAATCTGCTTACTGCTCTTTATACCTAAACTTGAGATCATCAAGAAGAAGGTCTCTAATAATAAAGACGACGACGATGAAGAACGAAATTTCTCATCTCGTAAGTTCTCAGATTAAATCTTTAAATCTTCTTTGACTTTAAGTATAATAAGCATCTTCCGATGAATTTAAAATGATGAAGTTTTTTTTTTAAAGCGTTACAAATCCATACTATTTCTTTAATTTTCCATACTATTTCTTTAATTTATTTATCATATTTTGCTAAATTATGTTTCATTATTTTTTTTTAGCATATGCTAGTTCGGAAACTCTAAACAATCTCGAAAATGTAGTAAGAAGTTCCGTTGAGAAGTACGAAGTACAAAATGATGCACGTTCAAATTCGACAGAGAAATGCACGACACTTGTATGTCGCATTACTGAGATATTTACATCTCACGAATCTTGGCAAGAGTATTTAAATTTATTCAAGAATTATATGGAAGAAGAGAGGCAACTCACAAAACAAAAAGAGTAGTGAAAGATTTACGTTGTCATTAAGTTGCGTTCTCATCTCTTTTTCTCTCTCTCTTTCTCTCTCTCTCTCTCTCTCTCTCTCTCATTTCTTCTCTCCACTTTTGTAATTATGTATCTTATGTATTTATTTACATATTTATAAAAATTATTTTATTGACATAAATGCTTTATTTATTTTCCTAATCTTTTTATTCTAAAATCAGGACAAAAGATACTTTCTTTACATGAAAAAGTTCTTTAAAAATGTTGCAAATGTAAGAGCGTTCTCAAATCTATCTTGTAATCGACGTCAATCAGAACGACATGATTAGAGAAGATTACAGGAATAATCTTTCCTTTCACAGCTCTATAATACTATGATCATTCGGTGCCATTACGTGCCACGTAGTGAAGTGTTCTGAAGATAAAAATTTATTTTAATAAAGTATTTCTTTCTTTCTCAGTTTTTAGATTAGATATGTGGCAACATTGATCCATGATCCATGTTAAATATGCGCATTTAATATCTCTCTTATTAACATTAAAATCATTTTTATAGAATAATAGAATAATAAATACATAATGCAAGAAATAATATAATTACAGAATGTAATATAGAAGATGTTTCAATTTATAACAAATGTTTCAATTTAAAACAATATAAAATTATTAAAAAATTTAAATTATTTACAATTTATATGGAGCGATTCGATTCTCTATTTCATTTTACATGTAAAAACATGTTTGCTGAATTGGTTACAACCTGCGAGTATATCAGATATTTGAAGAGATCAGACGTGACAAAGTATGATTAACCGTGCATGATGCATCCTGTCACTTTCAATTCCTCTCAGGTGGGGATAGATTTAACCGACACTCTCGGTTTATAAACGTAGCATGGCGACACGATATGCCAGTACTCGCGTGATAGTCATTCGCCGTGCCAATCAACTTTCATCAACTTTCAACCGAGCCGCCACCGAGATCAGTCAGAACAATGGAGGTAGCAATTATAGTTGGTACGAAAACTGCACCGACTTTACCGATTTTATACCGCAAAAATCGATTATCCTTGTAATCATCTAAGCATCTCGTCTAAGTACATTTATTAAGCGGATTGAAACACAATCTATGAGATCGACGATTATCATCAAATAAATATTAACAAATTTCATTAACTGTTGGCAATTTGATTATACTTGCGTATCCTCTGAAACATCAGAGGAATTTTTAAAGACTTTCTACTAAAGTACCAAAATTATTTAATAAAATTATTTTATATCACTATCTATTACAATTATTTTATATCATTTAGATTGCATATTTTGTGATTTAAAATTTATCTTAATTCTTTTTAGAATATAATTCTTGTTAGAATTAATAAAATAAGAAAAATGTTAGAGATTAGATGTATTAAACTTTGACAAAATCATTTCTCTCTCTCTCTCTC